CCTGGACTCTGACCTGCACTGTGCCCATGACCTCTCTACTCGTGTTATCATATGCCCATATTACTTGGGCTGTGGGAACAAAATCTTTTAGTTTAAGGCTAATTGCATAGACGGTGTGAGAAAGACAGACATTGATGGTCGAACCGGTATCTACCAATACCACCGGTACCCATTTCTCCCTGCATTTCAGAGATATGTACAACGGTTTATTGTGAGCCGAACCCTCTGGCAGCAGTTCTTTGTCAGAGAAGGTAAGAGTTGGCCTGGTACCACTTGGAAAAACCAAACCAACCAGCTGCTCAGGCGTGGTGTCAATGGACAATTTAGCCTGGTCTATTGCTGACAACACTGCCTGTCAGTGTACCTGGGAGGCCATGAGAAGACCCCACATGGAGATGTCAGCTTGGATTTTCTTGAGTTGTTTCAATACTTTCTCTTCTTCTAATTGTTTCTCATTCTATTTCTCGGCCACTCTGTCCTTTCCAGATGCCTTTGCTTGATCCAGGTGTGGTGGCTTAAAATACTGCCCATTGGCATACCACGTATTGTCTGGAAGGCACTCACTCCAGTCTTCGTCGATGTGGGCCAAATGCAAATCATTATTGTCCCGCCATTCAACCTTAGTGACCGACAAATAGTTGTCCAGCTCTGCTCGTATCACCTTTCAATCATAGCTATCCCCTATAGGGTATTGGGCCATTACAATTTCCCGGCTGTCTTCAATCCTATCTTGTTCAAACTGCCCCAGTGCACTTTCATGTTCAGTATCCACAGTGTTCACAGTGCCCACTTCCGGGGCTGGGTTTTCCACACCAGCACTCTCCAGCAGCTTTCCTTTCTCGTCAGCCCTTCCGGCTACTGCAGCTATCTCTACTTCATTTCCCTTTGGTTTCATTCTAGTTTTTTCCTCTTTGTCTGGCTCATCACTCAACCATCCAGTGTTGTCAATTGATCTGTTCAGGTCGAACCACCCGATCTGTACATTTCCCTGATCCTACTTATCAAAGAATAGCAGGTTGTCCAAATCCTCCTCGAGTTCTGCCAAATTATCCAACTCCTGGCTCGGGCCATCTTCCTTGACCACATTGATGTCTACCAAGGTTGGCAGCACCAATTCAGGCTTGATTTGACCAATTGACACAATGTAGCATCTTAGATCATACACCCTATCAGGTAGGTCCTCTGGACACTCTAGCACCGGACTAGTACCTTCCTCCAAGGTCGACTCCAGACTTGGGTTAAGGGTTGGACGTGTCCATCATGCACAGATCTGTACTTTTTGAAATAAACAACGTTAGTTTTGGTAGGTGGGAGGGAGTAATATATACGCTGGGGTCATAAGGGGTGGCCAATGTATGGATTAGGTTGAGATTTCGGGGTAGAGGGGCTTGGTTATGGGCTGGGAGTGGATTTGTGGTCATGTTTGGCTTCTGAGGTGGAGCGATCAGCTTGTTGTCAATGAGATCCTGAATCTCATGACGCAATCGAAAGCACTAGTCGGTGTCATGACCATGCTGTTGGTGAAATGCACAGTATTTTGCGAGGTTATGTTTGGGTGGAAGATGATCAAGCAATGGGCGGGGTTCTAAGGGTTTGAGGTGCCCTTTCTTGACAAGCACTTTCATGGCTTGAGAGAGAGTCATGTATAGTTGGTTGAACGTCCTCTGGGATTAGGTAGGGTTGGACGGTGTTTGTGAGCTTCTGTTGGCAAAAAGGTCAGCAGTCTTGGTTGTGGTGACAACGCTTACATCTGACAGCCTTGCAGTTGTGCTACCACTGGCAACATTGGAACTGGGAACAAACGGCCTTTTTGCCGACTCCTTCTCATTTGTAATAAGCCCCTGCTTCATGGCGTTCTCAATTTGCACTTCCATTTCATGGAGTTCAATAAATATGAACAGAGGTAGGACAATCATCTTTTACAGCAACTTGTCATGTAGATTCTGGACAACCATCCTGATCTGATCCTTCTTGAAAGGCCTCGTGGTCATCATCGAGGATTTAGGTCTCTACCTTGTCACAAATTCAGAGAAGCCCTCCTCTTTCGGCTCTTGGCATGTTTCCTCGACATCACAAGTTGTGACCTCGATTTAAGTATTGTACGAATACTGAGCAATGAAAGCCTCAATCATCTTCTCCCAATTCTGTTTGACAAAGTCTTCCAACTTAGCATACCAAATGGCTGTTATACTAAACATGGTGCGACCAAAGAGAGATAGCTTTTGTAGTCTAGTCAAGCCCATCGGCCGTAATATATCAGAAAATAGATGCAAGTGGACCATTAGATCTTCGGAGCCGTCGAATCAATCGATGTACGGCATTTTAAACAGAATCAGTATACCCGTCCTCTATGTCCGAGATGGAGTTAACCTCTTGTGCCCTCTTGAATAACTTTTCTAGCTTATTGACCTTAAGTACAGTTGGGTCAATCTCAAACTCGAACAAAGCCTCGATCTGATAAACAGTGGTTTTAGAGGCTTGTGCTGGGATTGGCTCTGTTGGATTGCCCTGGTTTTCTTGGACATTGGCAGTATGAGTGGTGCTTCAGGTGCTAAGATACCCGTGGTAAGTGCATGGGATGCAGAGGCCGCAGCCAACTAGGGTTGCTGGTGTTGTAGCATGGTTATAACCTCAGCCTAGTGGGTAGCATCTTACTGTAGGGTCTCAACTGTCTGTTGCAGATGATGTATCAATTCGTCTATACTGACTGGGGAATACTGTGCCATTAGAATAGGTGAGTGATCTCGTGCTGGACTACAAGTAGATGATCGTTCCCGAACCTAACTGGACACAAGTCAGCTAAAAGGTGACTGCTATAAAAATTGAATTGGTGAATTCTTCATGATTCTCCTCCATCTTGTAACAGGTGGGAGTTAAGTCAACATGGGTTGTCCCCGAACAAGATCCCCGACTTTACAAAGTCTTTTGACTCTAGTCCAAAGTACTTGGGGGATATCCGAACTTTTCTGAATCTATGGTTTTAAACTACCTAGCAAAAGAAATAAAGCAAAAAGAATAGTAATCAAAAACCGCAAAGCACCTCGGCTAAGATATTATCAACACAGACATGATCAAAGCTGTAGGACTATACTCCACACTAAATTCTACCCCCAAAAACAGATACCAAATTTGCAGCTCCTATGCACATTCCTATACAATTTCACTGTAAAACACATACCTGTTAAGAGAGAACCAAAACACCTCTATGAAGGAATACGGTTACCTTGTCCTAGTTTCATCAGGAATGAAGGTTTCACTAGTCAATTAAGCAGTTTTCACACAATCCTGTCCTAGTTTGGATCAGTCACTAAGGCTTTACTATATGCAGTAGGCCAAATGGTCAAAGAAGGTACCTTAGCAAGACTACCTAACATACCTCTCGCACCTAACACCGAGAAGTGAAAGAAGGATCAAACGGTACAGTGGTAGTCCAGATCCAAAGGTTGTGTTTCCATAATGGCAGAGCGCACGATCAGTCAGCCTTTTGGCAAGCTTTTGAGCAAGCCTCCGGCAAACCATCCAGGAATAGCAGATGGCAAACACAATGACTTAAGCCCACCAATGTCAATGCAAATACAAATCCAAAGAAACATATAAGTGTAGACGCGCCTGCGTGGGCCTCATTACAGTTCGGACTCGATTTGTGTCACGGTTCTTAATCTGAACCAAAGAGTCCAAATCTGGCAAATTGTTTTAAGAAAACAGATTTTTAGAAAAAAGTGCCAAACATGGACTGCTTTGCTAGATACAGAGTCGCCACCTAAATATTTTATTTTGGTGGGTAGTATAACGCATGACCCCCTGTGAAAGAAACTCCTATTTTCTACAAAAATAGGGCGCATCAATGAACAGAGTTAAAAATTATCAATGTGCACTTTAGGTTGAAGATTTGGGGAAAAAATAAGAAAGCAAGAGGGAAAAATGTTCTTGGTTGACTTTAAAATAGAGGGAAATAAAAATAAAGGTCACTTTTTACATAGATTAAGATGTATCTAGCAGAAATGTTGCACTTAGAAGAGTTAAAAACAATTAGAAAAAGTAATCCACAAAGAAAAGCTAAGTCATTATAGAGGATCCAGACCAAAAAGAAAAAGAAAAAGATTCATCATAAAGAAAAAGCAAAAGCCCAGTTGTTCATTTGTTCTGCAAAAAGAAGGTATTCGAGGCTAGAAAGTGGTCTGTTAGCATTCTCAAGAACTCTCTGTCACTAACTCGCACCAAACCTCGCATCAATCATCATGTTTATAGCATACTAGCAAAGAGACAAAAAAAATTGAAACAAAGATTAAAATGGTGGAACCACATTTTATAGTTTTGCAATTCTTATCAGAAAATCAGTTTCTCCTATGTGACAATACATCAAATTAAAAACTATAAAACTCCACATGGCTAAATGAAAGAAGAGTGAGGGAGGGAAAAGGTGGTGTATGCACCTTTACAAGCAATGACTTTCTTCTTGAGCTGGAACTCACTATAACTCCCATCGATTTCCTATCACGGTCAAACTCAAGAGTGGCAATCTGTCTTTCAATCTTACTCCACGTCCGACAACAACCTTCAATTACATAAAATTAAATGGTACACATTAGCAGCCACGTAAACACGTTTAGTAAACAACAAAAACATAAGTTATAATTGTAACTTACGTAGAACATCACCATAACCTTTAGATGTACCAGAATCCAATCCATCAGGAAGTCCCATTTTCTCAACCATAACCTGAAAAAACATAAACACTCATGATGAGAAAATTGCTTCAGCTCAATATTTATTGCTTTGCAGCAACTTCAAAGGATTGGAGCTTCATGAGGAGCTTCAATAGGATAAAAATGGAAGTAACCACTTGAAAGGATTGGAGCTTCATGAGGAGCTTCAATAGGATAAAAATGGAAGTAACCACTTGAAAGGATTGGAGCTTCATGAGGAGCTTCAATAGGATAAAAATGGAAGTAACCACTTGAAAGGATTGGAGCTTCATGAGGAGCTTCAATAGGATAAAAATGGAAGTAACCACTTGAAAGGATTGGAGCTTCATGAGGAGCTTCAGTGTGGGGTATTTGCTAATCATATCAATGATTCGAATATGACCTCAGCAACTCTTGTTACTCTCCTGGTTCAACGATGGATACCTTGCAATGAATTAGCTCATCGTGCATGTATCTGGAGGAAGCAACAATATTAGTAAAAATAAGAACACAGCTATTCTGTTTTTTATTACAAGCATAGGAAAAGAAATGCAAAACAATTTCTGAGCATTGATAGAAATTGAATAAATGAGGTCCAACTGCAAATAAAAATAGATTGAATATCTTCCAATGAAGCAGAAACGATATTGCAAAGATAAAGATTAAAAAAGAAAAAGAAAAAAAAGCAACCTCACATAAACACCACCACAAATTTGAACATAATGGGCATGCCAGGGGATATAAACAAAAGAAGATATTGCCTCTGTGAACATCCTGCAGAAAACGAGGACACACAATTCTGTCCATGATTGATTAAAAGCATAGCTTCCAAGAAATATTCCGAGTTCTACCCTTATCACCGACAGAAGTTAAAATTAAATCATACAACTAGCACCAATATTCTCACTAACTCTTGCTTTATAGTACCTTTAAATCTGAAGGTCGATTGTTTATACTTCTTCCCCTTCTGCACATTTTTAAGCATGGTTTCAGTTGATTGTAGTCTTGAAGCCGAGAATAGTCAAATGAAGTGAAGCATTGAAGAAGTTAAGGGTTGAGATGTTAACAAAATGATCATTTATTTACATTTCAGTTTGAATATTCTTCAATAATGGAAAGTAAAGCTGATTTTATCTTTTTCTTTCCACTATTGAAAATCTTTTTGAAAATAAATTGAAAACTTAAAAGTTTGGGAACAAAGGGAAACAGAACTCCACCACTCTTAAAAAGGAGAACCATTATTTTAAAGAGAAACATAACTCCACTACTCTTTAGTTTATAACTAGTACAAAAGTAGCATCAAGTGTAGAAAGAACTGGAACATAGACCCTCCTTATAGAAAATGAGCCAACCCTCAATTTTAATTTTTTAAGTCCAGTGCTTCATGTGGAGAAATAATGGTATTAGCATATTTTATTTTACTCCTTTTTGACATTGTAATTGTAACTCTAATTAAGACCCTTCAGATTTCAATATAATAATCTTCTCCCTTACATACAAGGACACCTAGCTTTATTATCTAAAGAAGAAGAAGAATGTCAGGGCAGTATAACACATGATCCCTGTGAAAGAAACTTCTATTTTCTACAAAAATAGGGCGCATCAATGAACAGAGTTAAAAATTATCAATGTGCACTTTAGGTTGAAGATTTGGGGAAAAAAATAAGAAAGCAAGAGGGAAAAATGTTCTTGGTTGACTTTAAAATAGAGGGAAATAAAAATAAAGGTCACTTTTTACATAGATTAAGATGTATCTAGCAGAAATGTTGCACTTAGAAGAGTTAAAAACAATTAGAAAAAGTAATCCACAAAGAAAAGCTAAGTCATTATAGAGGATCCAGACCAAAAAGAAAAAGAAAAAGATTCATCATAAAGAAAAAGCAAAAGCCCAGTTGTTCATTTGTTCTGCAAAAGGAAGGTATTCGAGGCTAGAAAGTGGTCTGTTAGCATTCTCAAGAACTCTCTGTCACTAACTTGCACCAAACCTCACACCAATCATCATGTTTATAGCCTAGACTGTGGATCATGTGCCAAGAATTATGCCCCGGGAATAAATAAAGATAAGATTAGACAACTAAATACTGAGAATATCAACCAAAAATTGGGTTAGATTAGATGCTCATGGCAAACAGCCTATAACACTCGTGTTGTGAGGAGTTGTGTATTTTTTTATGCTCGGATTTACTGCAAGGATGTTTTACGGAGGCTGGAGGACCAAGGCATTAGGCCGAATCATGTATTTCTGTGTTCTCTGTGTTTGATCTATTTTATTTACTGTTTTGTGGATTTGGAACGTTCAATTATCACATAACAACTCAAAAGACACACAAATGGCGTGATATTTGCAGACGGGGTGGCACCACACATGTGAGAAGGTATTCAGTCAACTTTTTTCTTTTTCACACATTTAATGGATGTATTTCTATGTTGGTCATCCTTAAAAGAAATTTTTGAATACCTTGAGTTGCTTGGATTATCAATTGTCATCTTTGAAAAAGAAAAAAATTCAACATCTTGAACTGATTAGATTGCCATTTTTATCCCTCCAAAAAATAATTGAACACCTTAGTTGTCGATGTGAGCTCATAACCCAAATATTGAATTCCCTTTTTATTTTTATGTCCAGTCAACCCTACTCAAAGTTTAGAATTAATTAGAGTGGGTCCTTAAAAAATTGGCGAAGCAATAATGATAGTATCATCTCAAATACAAATCCCTTTTAACAGATTGCTCATTTTGAGATTTTGGATAAAAAAATCCTATAAAATAAAAAATCTGAAGGAAAGATCAAAAAAAAAAAATGTCTACCAAAAAACAAAGAAGCTAAGTTTACAAAGTTATTTTGTCAATTAAATCAGTTTTACTGAATTTCTCAATTTTTCTTCACTGATAATTGAAGAAAATTAATAAAAAATATTAAAGAAGAAAATGGCCGATTAAAAAATGGTTTCAAACAATAATAAATGAATACCTTAAGTCTGTGTTTAGATCATGAATTTGACTAAGGATTTGGAAGGAAAAAGAAAAAAGTTGATAAAATGTTAATGAAATATATTACATTTCATTTACTTTTTTCCTTTTTAGTTTCTGAATCCCTATCAAAATCCGTAATCAAACAGACCTCATGAATTTGGGTAGGAATTTGGAAAGTGAAAGGAAAAGAAAAAGGTCAGTTAAATTGAGAAGAGATTTGAAAAGTGTAAGAGAAAAGCATATTTCTTTTTTCAAATCTCTACTTAAATGGATAATCCAAATGCAGTCTAAATTTTTTTTTTAGAGTCGTCACTGTTTGTAGACAAGACAGAGCATCCATTTTGGTTCCATTAACAGAAGATATCACAATTTATATAACTCAAAAATTGCAAAAAAACTAAAGTAGAGAAAGAGAGAGAGAGGCTCACAAGAAAGGAAACAAGCAGAAAGTCTCAAACTCCAAGGCATTCAGGACTTGTACTCTGCAAACACACAATTCATCATTAGATTTACAAATTATCCAGAAAAATCAAAACCCTTGTAACTAGCTCCCATTAACACATAATTCATCATTAGATTACAGATTCTCAGCCACAAAATTGAAAAAGAAAAGTCAAAAAAATCAAAGCCCTTGTAACTAGCTTCCTTATATTTCATCAATTGAGATGAAGAGTGAAGCTGAGAAAAATTTACATATTTGAAATGAAAAAACACAAAAACAAGGCAAACTGATTGTCAACTACAATGTCGGCAACGCCATTAAATTTTAAAAAAAGAAAAGAAAAAAAGAAGGAAGAAGCTTTTAGGACAAACCTACCAAAGTTGTGAAGAGGCTCACAAACTTTACAGGTATGAAACCTTTGCCTACCCAATTTTAATGATTGAATTGAAATAAATGAAAAAGAAGAAATGAAAGCTCCTACACATACGCGTGTATATATATATATATAGAGAGAGAGAGAGAGAGAGAGAGAGAGGAATTGAGGACTTGCAAAGTTCAAATCAAACCACGCATATATCCGTTGTTTTTATTTTTGGTAATAAATACATTTGTAGTGTGGTTTTTAGAGGGCTTTAAAGCCGAGCCGTTTCGCTCCAGCTCATCCTTTTATGTAGGTCGAGTCATTAATGTTTTTTTTTTTAAACCAAGGATTTGATTGGTGGATGAAAAGCGGGACTCAGGGATTACCCTTTCTTAAGGGTTGTTTGCAATGTTTTAAACAACCCACTCGTTACCACCGGTCACCGTCACCCATTTATTCACCACCAGCTACTACTACCCGTCATTCGCCATCCGCTACCCACCCGCCACTATCACCACCCACTCGTTACCACCAGCCACCGTCACCCACCTATCCACCCACTATTACTACCCCCACCACCACTCACCTGCCACCACTTTCTATCCGCCACCCACCTGCTACCACCACCCACCACCTGCCACCGTCACCCCCCCCCCCACCACTACCACCTGCCACCTACTCGCCACCACCACCCACCCCTTGCCACTACTACTACCACCACCACCCACCTGTCATCCACCACCCACCACCCACCACCCACTCGCTACCACCTACCACCCGCCACCGTCACCCACCTACCCACCCACTACCACCCACCACCCACCGTCACCACTTTCCACCACCGTCTTCCGCCGCCACTTGCCACCACTTGCTATTTCTCACTTTTTTTTTATATTTTTAAATTTTTTTAAACATTTTGTCAATTACCAAACGCGTTTGTAGTTTATGTTTTTTTAAAAAATAAACAAAAAATAAACAAAAATCAATTTATAAAATTTTTGTAAATATAAAGTGAAAACGTAAATGTTACCAAACAGACCCTTATATGTGTTTTTAATTTTTATTATTTTTTTTAAACTTTTTTAATTCCTCTAACAAAGTAATACTTAAAAGTCAAAAGTTTTTTTCTGTTATTTTTTAAAATGTTCATTGAAGACGAAATGAAGTCAATAAAAAAGTCACTCCTAAACAACTTCTAAATCTTATTTGGTTTTAATTTTTTTTTTAATTATACCAGTTAATTTATTGCATTTTGAATCAAGTTATAATAGAATCATTTTCTCTATTTCTCAATTATATATTCTCACTTTACTGTACTTTTGAAACCATCAACCATTGACCACATCTCCTTTGGTTGTGGTAGAGGATTTAAAATATAATGGTGAGAGAAATAATAGTGAAAAATATATGAGAAGAAAGATTTTATTTTTTTTTCAATTTTTGCCTTAAAAAATGTAAGAGAACTTTCTTTTAAGTGGCCTATAAATCAATGTAATTGCATTTCCATAAGTAGGGAATAATTCAATGTAATTTCACTTTTACAAAGATGAAAATTAGACTAAGTGAGAGTTGTGTCTTATGTCATATCTTCTACTTTTATTGAACCCAAATTATTTTGAGTTGTTCTTATTTAAATTTTTTTTCCCCAAAACATCATGTGCCAGTCACATGACAATTTTTGTTAATAAATTTGACTTGATCAAATATATAAAAGGTTGATTGTTATAATATGTAGACACCCCATTTTTGACCGTCCTTACGATTTGGACGTCACCGCTTGAACACTCGGTGATCATTCATGTTTGTGTTCGTCTTGAGTTCCCGGAAGTCTCGGCTACGCGCCTTGCCTCAGGATCTCTCGACTCGACTATTTTGTGTCTGGTTTTGCAACAAACACTTGTGCTTTGCCTTGGAGGGGCAGGGAATGGCTTGTGGGCCATCCCCACACTCCACCAGCCATGGCATGAGGCCACCGGCTGTGTTTTGTTGCCACCGGCCAAATGCTTGGCCGACAAGCACTATAGATGGCCGGCCGGCTATCTTTTTTTTGGTCAATTGCATTTTTGGCCGGCCGACTACTGTGTATCTGCTTTTGCAGATATTTTTGTGCGGCTGGCATACATTGTATGGAGGGATTGCCCTCTTGTTAGCTTCCTTTGGAAGCTTTACAAGACTAATTGTCTATAAAAAAGAACCTTTTCTCTCTTGTTCAGGGGTTAGACAATTTAGACAACATTTTCAGAGCTTGAGATTTAGGGTTAGGGTTTACATATATCCTCTATCTCTATCTCTCTCTCTCTCTCTCTCTCTCTCTCCTGTGTTTAGTGTGTGTTTAGTCTCATTTTTGTGCACAAACACCCACCATCACACCTTTTCTTAGTTGCTGAGGTACCAGAGATCTTTCCTTGAAGTTTTTGGATTGGTTTGGAACCAAAAGAGCTGCTGGAACATTTATTTGTGAAGAGGGTCTACAAGGTAAGACTTTTGTCCCTTTTTACCCCATTTTTGCAAAGCTTTTTAGCCTATCTTGCATCTATTTTTGAGCTTAGCATATAACATATAAAAGTCTTATTTTTGTCTGCTCTAAATAGTTTGTTAGGGATTTTTTAAGCTTTGGGGTTGTTTGATCCCTCTTAAGGCTTGTTTGGCCTTTGTTTTGTGCCATTTTGGTTGAGCTCTTTAAGCTTTGGGGTTGTTTGACCCCTCTTAAGGCTTGTTTGCCCTTTGTTTTGTGCCATTTTGGTTGAGCTCTGGGACCATTGTGCTTGGGCCTCCTCACCACTGAAATCTTGAGGGATTTTAGAGGTGAGGATGGTGCCTTGAGGTCTTAGAAAGGAGAGGGCCACCCCCTCCCATTGTTGTCCTTGAAAAGGGCTATTTTTGCCTCTTGAGGGAGCATCTAGTTTAAGTATGTGTTGACCATGCCTTAACTGATATTTATGCTTATTTTGCCATGAAATAGCATTGTGTTGAGTTGGTTTGGACACACCTTGCATGCTTTGCATACATGTCTTGTAATGCCATCATTTAGCCTTAACATGCATCTACGCTTTGACCCTTGTTCAAGCCTTGTTCAAGCATGTTTTAGGCCTTGCTTTGTAAAGCTTTTGTACTTGTTTTTCCATGCTTAAGGTCTGCCTTTAGTTGTTTTGGTCGACCATGGTATGCATTGCATAGCCTCTTTACATTGTTTAGCTTGTAGGCTTTAAATGTGTGAAGTGTTGAGCATGCATTGTTTGATTTATTTCAGCGGTTTGACACCACTTATAGCATCATTTCAGTCCTCATGACATGCTTGCCTTTGATGCCTCTTTGATGCCTTATAAGGTTGTGCCTTATGCTCTATGTTTGGTCATTGTGCGTGCCCTTGAATTTAAGTCATTTAGATGCCATCTAAGTGGTCTTTAGGCTTTGTTTTAATACGCTAAAACTCTGTTTTTGGTCATTTAATTCATGCCATGTTTGGTTTTGCTAAGGGTAGTTCAATACCTCCTTAGCTTGCCTTGAGTTTTGGACCTCTAATTGCATGCTTATGCTTGTCTTGTTGGCTTGGTTTGGCACCATTTTAACATGATTTTCAGAGCTTATGTTGCATGTCATTAGTCCATGTTTTTGTGCTTACAAGTTGTCTTCATATGCTTAAGTGTTGGACCATATTTGCATGCATGCGTATGTGTGTGTTGGACCTCACTTCCATAGTAATGGCCACTGATTTTGACAAGCTTTCAAGCTACCCATGTTAGTTTAAGCCCACCCCTTTGCATGTTGCTGTATGCCCACCTTGTATGTTGTTGCATAGTTGTGTGTTGTTGCATGATTGGAGTTGCATGATTGAATGAAGTCACATGCTTGCTTGCTTGCATGCTCGAACACCCACATTGTGCCTTGCATACTTGTTAGTTGCATTGTCTCATGCCCTATGTCTTGCATGACCGTTGTATGCCTTGTATGCTTCTTAGCATTGTCCATGTTGCATACTAGTCGACATGCTTAGGATTGCATTACATTGGCATACATGCTTCGCCTCTTGAATTGCTTGTGATAGAGGTTGAGTTCAATTTGCTTGATTATGTGCATTGCATTCCATATCAAAATGCATACTTGGTTCCTTGAGCCATCATGCATGGAAATACGCGATTGGTGGTCCGAGAATCGAGAATCATATCCCTTTGAGTCATAAATATGATAAGGAGTGTAGTTGGTGCATACATTGCTTGAAATGCATTGCCATGCCAAGTTCTGTCCTTTGCTGCTGTCAAACTAGTTTTTGCAGGAAGATTTGACCGGCCGACCATCTTAAGTGCCGACCGGCCATCCATAAGCAGCCGATGGATTAATTTGTGGCCGGTGACCAATTCCCTCAGCCGGTGGTGTTCCATAACACTCAGAGAAGCAACCTTGGGAGTTGTGTAATTTTCAGAGAAGCAGAACAGTCAAAGCAGAGGCAACTTGTGCATGGCAGTGACTTTCCGAGCGAAGCCGAGCGCGCATTGCATTGGATCCTCTTCCCGAGGCTGTTTATTGCTTAAATTAGATTAATTAATTTGCTTAATTAATTAGGTGGTCTGTAATATTTAATTAGCTTGTTAGTTAGTTAAATTGTATTATTCTTTCGATCCCTCCGAGTGAGGGCTAACTTGTAATAAGTGTGGGTGCGTGGGTGCGTGTCTTCCAATCCCCCACTTCTTTCTCCCTTTTACTTACCTGCTTTTGATGGTTAGTATTAGGGCATATTTAAATTAGCATACCTTATGCTATGTATGCATGCATCCATACATTTATCCTACATGCACCGGGCTCGGTACATCATACTAACTGCACTTGTATTTCAATTCCAAGTTGAATACCTGTTAGTTGCAACATTTCACATGCCATCATTAGGATAGCCGAGCCTATTGTAGTTGCATCTTGTATGTGTTGTATTAGCCATCTCAACATGAACTAGGATCATGCACATGATTACTAACTAGCTTCTGTTCTGGCTTGGAGTACTCGGTAAGCATTTATGCTTTAGCATACCGCATGCGTGTGAGTGTTGCCATAATAGCATGATTACCATGAGGCTAACTGCTTATGTGATATAACTGCTTGAATGCCTGTGGATGGAGGTTGAATTAACTGAATTGGGATAATGCATTAAAACTGTGAGTTTCAAGCCCACTAGATAGTGGCAAAATCATCTTTTCTAAAGCCCACTTGAGGGTGGCAAAACTTGCATTTTAGCCTACTTACGAGTAGCAAACCATTTTTAAAACAAACATGCAATGTTTTGTTCCAATTTAGGCGATTTGGTCTATA